GTAGGGGCTATGATGAATAAAACTGTTGTGTCCATTTGTGTGCAGACTTTTGTATGAACATGTTTCCTTTGATCTTGGACAAATGGCCAAGAGTACAAAATCTTGTTGTATGTTGTGGCATGGGGAGAAACTAGTTTTCCAGAGTTGTGCTGGACCAAAAATTCATCGTAGGAAAGTCTTCTTTCTAAAGTTTTGTTTTTAAACTTAGTGGGGGTACCGTGGACCACTCTGTATTAACTTTGCAACTTCCTGTGAATCTATCATTATTCCAACAATAAATTGGAGAACATGTCTCTATTTCTAAAATGATGATCCTCAAATCAGTATGGCATTTGGAATCTACTGAATATGCAAGAAAGTGATGTAACAGTTTTAAAAGTATTGATATTCAGACAGATTCTTTACCCTTTGAGTCACCAAGGAAGCCCATACACCAGAAAGCATATACCTAATAACTAAACTTACTTAACGACTTTTACTTAAGGCCTCCTGAATTCTTTCAATGAATATGTCAGGTAAAACATCAACTGGTGTAACTGCATTCGTGACCACAGGGTATGAAAGGGAATGCTTGTGTGGTCACGGATAATCTGCAGTGCATGTCAGTCAGCAGTCCTGTCTGAGGTCCGGCTTTTGGACTCTTGAACCATGAGGGAGTCTGCTCTGCTACCCAACTGAAGGTTAGTGAAGACAAAGTCAGTCAGGGTGACGTCAAGATTTCCCCTTTATCAAATGTAGCATTTTTATCTCGGGAGATTCCTACAACTGAATGTGACATGAGGGCTCTGCCTTTGTATTCCCACTGTTTTTCATTTTCCCACATCTTCACCATTATCACTATTTAAAAATATTGCTTATCCTGGTAAAACATACACAACATAAAATTTACCATTTTAACCACCTTTACGTGTATAACTCCAGTGGCAATACATTTACGTGTATAGTCCACACCACCATCCATGTCCACAACTTGTTCATCGTCCCACTTTGTCCCCAGCAAACAGCAGCTCCTACTTTTCCAGAACCTGGCCCCAGGCAACCTCCAGGCCACTGTCTCTGGCTTTGCCTACTTGAGGGACCTCACTAAGCGGGACCCTACAATATTCTTTCTTCTGTGTCTGAATTATTTCTTGCAGGGGGGGTGTGGTTTCTAAGGTACATCCATGTAACAAGAAGCATCATTCTACTTTTAAGGCTGAAGGATATTCCACTGAACATGTACAGTCATCCCTTGGTGATGAACCAATGTCTTGGTGAACCAGGGCATTGGTTCCAGGAAACCTCTCAAGAGCAAAATCCATGGGTGCTTAAGTCCCTCATATAAACTGGCTTAGTGTTTGCATATAACCAACACCACCTCTCAAGTACTTTAAATCATCTCTAGGTTACTTATAATGCCTAATATATCAGTACTATGTAAAAAGTTGCTGAGGCTGTGAGCACTGGTGCTCGGAAGGCGGTCAGCGCAGCCGGCCAGTCTTGCAGGGGAGCTGGCAGAGGGACGCCAGGCTCTGGCACTGCTGTGGGATGCGCAGCTGGACACACACCCGCTCATGCTCCACCCGCCCCAGCTTCTCTCCCTGAAGGCCTCTGCCAACCTTCTGCTCACCATTCCCCTCACCAGGGACCATCACATTCAGCTCAGAAATCAGCTACATGGTCTCACCTGGGCCAATACTTCCCCTCACAGGCCAGTCCCTTCTGATCCAGTCCAGAGATCATGCCACCAGGCCTGCTAGAAGCCCAACTGCCTGCCTCTCCCCGGAAGCTGTCACTGTAGGCAGTTCCTTATAGTCAGTACATAGCTTCCTATGTCTGATGTCAAAATCCTGACTGTAATATTTTCTATTATTTGCAAATTTCACTTTTTACAGATTCTTCCAATGCATAAAGGTTAAGCATGGGCATGGCCTCCTAGTCCTTTTAGCACAGGGCTTTCATCAGCAGTCATTTAACAGACGGTGTCTGAGAAGCATACAACCAAATCTTTCCCCTTAGGGAAAAGGGACCCAAGCTTTGTTTCAGGTCTTCTACCTCCCCCACAACAGATGTCTTAGCATAGACTGCAGTCCCTGCTTAGAGAAGACCTGTTTTTTACCAGAGCAACAGGAGCACTGCTTTATGTCTTGTCCAGAGGGCTGTCTCTGCAGTGGAGGGGGCCTTAGGCTCCTCTGGACCACCAGTCTCCTTAAAACACTGGTGGGTGTGTGCTCTGTCCAAGAATGAGTAGAAAGAAACTCGGATGGCTCAGGTTTCATCCCAGTTCTGCAGGAGCAAAAGCACAGGGTTTCTGTTTGTGTGTGCTGCACGTGGAGTGGTGGCAGGATGAGAGAATGGATGCTGTCCTGACCCCTGGCTTCCCACGTGTGAGTGGACATGTGTGCACATCTGCACAGCACACTCTGCATGTGTGCACAGTGGAGTCAGAGGGTGGCCCCTGGGGCAACACCCTCACCTCCGTCCAGCACTTCGAACCCAGGGCGTGCCTGATACGACGCAGGAAGGAGGGAAATGAAGAGGCTGAGTTCCTTTTTTTTTTTTTAGAAGCTTTTATAAATGAGGTTTAACAAACACCAATGTACAGGTGTGTTAGTAGCACAAGTCTGTGGCACCGGGCACAGCTGCAGCCATACCGAGGCCACAGCGGCAGGTGTGGCCTCCAGGCTCCTGCCACGTTTACATCCTAAAATCTCCGGAGGCTCCTTTCCTGTCTGCATGTCTGCAGTAACCGGCAGCAACCTCCCAGACCCACACTCACACTCCTCTTCTCTGTCACAGCCAGGGCACAGGGCAGTGGGGTGGAGGTTTTAGGGTCCAAGAAGGTCACCCCGTCACCGGAGCTGCCCCCAGACAGAGGGCGCCTCCCTCTCCACCGAGAGGAGCTGAGAAGGAAGGATCCTCTCAGGTCTGCGCTTTCAGGTTACAAACTCAGAGAAGACGCTACCCCAGCAAGATGAGGGGCTGCCTCCGCTGCTGCAGTTCTCGTGAGTGTCCACACCATTTAGGAAAGAAATGTCAACATAGTCTTAGTGTTCAATTAAAAAAACCCAAAGTATAAAAAATCACGACACTGAATATTTAACCTCATGATGACTATGTTCTTCTACGTGAAAACCGTCTGGTGACACAGAGGAGTGGGAGCATCCTTCTGCGAAGCTCCTGCTCCAAATGGCTTCACGTCGGGAGTGAACACAGCGGCGTGTCTGAGGCTGGGAATGCCTGCTCGCAAGGAACAAAGGCCTCTGGATGGTGTTCCTGACGCCCCTCGAAGCAGGCAGTGGGTTGGGTAAAGACTTCATCATAATCAGGAAACTGTCCTGGACCCAGGCTCATGCTTTGCCCACCATCAGTCGGGCTGTCGCCTGGCCACCCTTCTTGCTATCATCAGAGGCTGGCCTCACGACCCCGTACAACAGCCTCCTGGGAGGTGAGACGGAAACTGCGCTGTCTTCAAGGCAGAGGGATAGAGGAGGTCGCTGTCTTGAAACAAATGTAAATGTGGTTGACAGGTTTGCTTTCAAAACTGCCTTTGGCCCTGGGCAGTCTCATGAACTGCATGAGTAAGTAGTGTATGTGTGCGTAAGTCACTCAGTTGTGTCCAATTTTTTGCGACCCCGTGGGGTATACAGTCCAAGGAATTCTCCAGGCCAGAATACTGGAGTGGGTAGCCTTTCCCTTCTCCAGGGCATCTTCCCAACCCAGGGATTGAACCCAGGTCTCCCACACTGTAGGCAGATTCTTTACCAGCTGAGGCACAAGGGAAGCCCAAGTAAGTAGAAGGAATTTAAAGGCCTGACAACAGGGCTGCTGTGTTTTCTGAGCCACACACAGCCATAGAGCTTGGGCCCAGGGAAGCCAGGGTGGGGGGCCACACAGGGGCCCTTCCAGCCACCTTGGCGCTATCTTGGGTGGACCCACATGGCAGGTGAACGGCACTGTCAGAGCTGTTCCGCCCATGGCCCGTGTTGGGGTATTAGGTGGACGAGGAAGGGAGGGCTGGCCTGGAGACTCGGGAGCCAACGCCGAACATGTGTGCGGCCTGCACATCTGTGTCTAGGGCCTGGGGTAGGGGTGGGGGTAGGCCCAGGGAAGACGCAGCTGGAAGGTCACCCAGGAGGCCTGTGTCTCTTCTGCACAGACACAAATAGACTGTGAGGTTGCTCAGCTGGAGTTTTCTTAAAGGTTTCCTAAGCCACCAGTGGTGTTTCCAATTGAAAGGAGCAGTTTGGGCTCCTACCTTAAGTTGAACTTTAAAAAAAAAAAGATACAGTATTTAACGGCGTACGACAACTTATTTACAATTTAAATAGAAATTTTCAATAATCAAAATACATCTCTAGCAAAAATTTAGACTGTAAAATTTTATAAAATAAACACCCATAGAAAAGCAGAACATCATGTCAGTACCATTTCAGATTCAGCACAAGATGAAGGCTCTCCAATGCTGGGATCCTCTGTGGATGAGCAGGGTTCCCACAGCTAAGAAGATCCCTCCTTCTAACAAGCTGTTTACTGTCCTGATCTGGGCTGCTGTTATAAAATGCTGACCCAAAAAGAATCCCCCAGATGGACACCAGGACTATCTTGGCAAAGCCTGGGGATGAAGCGGCCCCGGGGCCACCGTGAAGCCCCATCACTGCAGCCAAGGCTCGGGCCATGACCCTGGCTGCCAGCCCTGGACGCTCATGCCAGTGTGGCCCCACCGCGGGACAGGTCACGGTGCCTCCCGAGCCTGGGCTGCCCACCTCGAGGCCGGCAGACCCCACGGGATTGGCTTGGCGAACCCGGCCACTTCCTTGCCTTGTGGTGACTTGCCCATCTCCAGGAAAACTCTTTTATTCGTGTAGCTTGTTAAAAAGTAAGAAAGGAGTAGCGGTCAACTTTGGCCAAAACAAAAGCTTTTGTGCGCGTGTCTAGCCCCATCCGGCGCCCCTCGAGGGGCTGCTCCTGGCAGGGTCCCCCGTGGAGGTGTCTGCGTGTGCACACAGCCGCGCCACCATCTAGATCACGAATGAGGACTTATGTCTGAAGTCGCCCTGAAAAGCCAACGTAGAAGGTTAGAGGGTGGTCAGCAGGTGGAAAAGGAGCCTGACACCACTTCCCTCGATGTGCTCTTGGCTGGGAATGGCCGCAAGGCCTGCGGACTGAATGCCCCATGAGCACACTGCCAGGGGGCATGCTGAGGGGCTTGTGTGCTGGACATAACTCAAATTTCTCTCCTAGGGACCCGCTCGGTTTTCGGGGGGATGTCATCTTCCCTGCTGCAGACACCGTCTCCAGGCTTCCTTACCTCCTCATCTGTCCTGATATAGTTAACTCCATCTGGCTTCCCTGGGTTCTTGTAGCTGAAACAGAGCAGAGGAGCTGGGTGATGCCTGATGGGCCACAGCAATGCTCAGGGCACGCTGTTCATGCAGGACAGGCTTACCTTTCCCCGTTGCGGTTGTGGCTGATGAAGTAGCCACGTCTGTAGGCACAGCAGATGCCCCCTGTGATGAGGGCCAGGACGGTCAGGACGACTAGGACCCCCCCGATGATGCCGCCGATGTTGAGGTCATCTGGAGAACAGGAGGGGTGAGAAGATGCTCTCCCCCCCTCCACCCCTCCCTGGCCTGGAGCAGCTCTGCCCACAGGCTGTGACACCCACCTGCTGCCCCATAGCCGCTGCAGCCACGGAGCATGGCCTGCCCTATGGGGAGTAACAAGCCTCTGGGGCACATCCTAGAGCTTTCTTACTGAGAAACGGTTCCCCTACAGAGACAGAACTAGGAACCAGAGTCCTAAGGAAGAAAAACCCCTAAATTTCTAGGGCTTCTCTTCGCTGTAGATTATTTAGTTTCAAGGGGTCATTAAAAGGGCAAATAGGAGGTAAGAACGTGGCCTTGCAGCCACCAGCCATCCCTCAAGGAGATCCTCAGCTGTACTCTTCTGCTTCAGTGTGGGGCCTGGGGCTGCACCCTTTGTGCAGATAAAAGCACAATGGAAACCAGGCAGGGGTGTATCGACCAATGCTGTCCAGGCTGGGAGCTGCTGCAGTTCTCCCTTGTCTGGTACAGGGTTCTTGACCGTAAGCATGCAGTTACTTAAAGATGCATTTGAATTCTGACTTCATAACGTCAGTTTCCAAGCTCTGTCTCTCAGGTCAGGAACTCTGGGGCACAACCCAGAAATCTTCCTCCTGCCCAAGAGCAGCTCCCCAAATCTGGCAGCAGCTCGGGAGTCCCCTGGGGACCAGCTCCACAGGTGGGGGGGGCCCTGGACCCCGCCCCCTCCACTGAGCCCTGACAGCCCAGAGGAAGAATCACCCCAACGGCACAAAGCACTGGGGTGAGCCCTAGTCTCCGCTCACTGCAAACAGCTCAGGCTGGGTAAAGGCCCGGAGACCTACACAAGCTTACGTTTCCACGACTCTATCAGTTACCAAAGAAATGGAGTTCAGGGTACTTCAGTGAAAGCTGTGGGTTGAGGAGAGAACCTGTGGGTCAGCCCTTCAGAGGGTCCTCCCACCAGACCCAGCAGACTCCAGGGAGCCCATGCGCCCCACAGAGAGCGGCCAGCACAAAGGGCGCTGAGCTGAGGGCACCAGCAAGCATGACCGTCCCGCCAGCCCCCAGGTCGAGGCTCAGCAGACACTCACACACTTCCATGTCCTGCTCCTCGCAGCGGGCCGAGCCCGCGTCGTTGGATGCGATGCAGTAGTACTGGCCTGAGTCCTCCTTGTGGACGGCGCTGAACACCTGCCGGGAGTTGGGAGTGAAGGGAGATCTGGTGACAGGGCTCTTGCGCCGTCCCACCTCCCCACCAGGGGCTGGCCCCAAACACGACAGTGTGGTTCAGTCTTGTCCACGACACTGCGAGCGGCCCAAACATACCAGCAATGTCGCAACGTCACCATGTGGCCAGCGAGCAAGACCCACTGCCTCCCGACTCTGCTCCAGATGGCGCCGGGCAGGGCGCCCTGCAACCCCCTTGGCCACTGTCCCCGCAGTTCTGCCCGCCCTCCTGCACCCACTTACAGGCTTTCCTGTCTATAAAGGGTGGGCGGTGGGGGTGGTGGTGGTCCCTGACGTGAGGGTCTGTAGCTCTGGTCTCCTGTCTGCTCACAGGCGCTCTGCCCACAGCACAGACGCCCACACCGCGCCTCTTCCCGGAGTTCTTACCAGAGTGCCCGTCTCAGGGTTTAAGACAAAAGAGGAGTTTCGGAAGCGGGGGTTGGCCCTGGAGTCTGTGGGCAGTGGCACATCGTTGCGGTACCAGCTGTAGTGCGGCCGTGGGAAGCCCTCGCCCTCCTGGCAGGACAGGGTGGCCGCCTTGCCCACGGGCACGGCCCGTGGCACTCTGCACACGGGGGCCACTGGCTTCACTGCGGGAGGAGCGTGGGCAGGGGTGAGAACCAGCAGCCAGGCCTGCTTTTACCCGAGCCCACCTAGAATGCTGCTCCACAGCAGGAAACCCAGCCCCCGCGGGGACCCCAGCCTTTCCAGTGCCTCTGGCTTGTGAAGGCTGAGGCAGAAGCTCCACTTCCCTCCCCGCCCCTGGCCTATAGCTCTCGAAAGCCCTCCCTGCCCAGCCCCTGGGGGTCCTGCCACACCCAAAGGGACGTGGCTCTGGAAAAAAAGGAAGTTGGTCGTTTCCACCAGCAGACGCAGAGCCGAGGGCAAGGGGCCTCCGCCCTGCGTGCACCCCCACCTTGCACGGTCAACTCGATGACGATCTCGTCGATCTCCTTGCGGTCATTCCGAGCAACCACCTCACAGCGATAAAGGGCCGAGTCTGTCCTGGTCACGTTCCAGATCTTCAGAGACGTCTTCCCCAGCAGCTCTGCACGGTCGGTGAGGTCTCCTGTGGAGAGGAGAGGCACTGAGGGACTCCCTACAGATGCCTGGCTCCCCCCAAGGCTTCCCCGTTAAAGGAGAAAACCAGTCACCCAGCACTGAAAGACAAGGTGCACTCCACAGACAGTGCTGCGATCACAGGGTACCCTCATGCAAGAGCGGCCTGGACCTCGACCTTGCAGCCCACACCATACACAGCACACACCTTACTGCACGAGCTCCAACTCCAACCCTCAGGAGGAAAGAAATGTGAATGACATGACCTTGGACTAGACAGTGATCTCTCAGATATGACGCCAAAAGCACAAGCTTCCCACAAACCCCCCAACACACAGCTACATTGTTCCAAATTGGGAAGGAGTACGTCAAGGCTGTATATTGTCACCCTGCTTATCTAACTTATATGCAGAGTACGTCATGAAGCTCCCTACGCTTCCATGTCTTTGTGCCCTGCGTGCTCCTGGGCCAGCACCCCCGTACGAAGAGCTGGACACAACTCCACACCCCCAGCCTGCTCTCCTGTGAGGTGTGATCGGCACCCAGGTGTGCGCAGTGGCCACTGCTGTCCCCCTGCTGCTGAAGTCACTGAACTTGTAAAGTCATGGCTCACGGTAGGGAAGTGGCCTCGGGGAACGTTCACTAGACATCCCAAAGAGATGGCGGCATGGGGACTAAAGTCCTCCTGAGGAGGTGATATTTACTGACGCAGAGAGGCAGCTGCAGAGAGGCTCCACCCCTATCCTCACCACTTCTGCATGCTTGAATTCTCCACAGGAAAACAGACAGAAAACCAATCCTGGCTACAGATGTAGGTCCATGTAGAGCCAAGTCTTGGCTGCAAGTGCACGCCTGGGCCTTCTGTATAAAGGAGAGGACCACAGGATCATACCCTGAATCTTGTTGTCGAAAAACACATAGGTGGTTTGTTCATCTTGGATCTTCTTCCATTCAATTCTGGGGTCATTTGTCTGTGAATCCGTAATGATACAAGATAGTTCTACACCTAATGAGAAAGGGGTTAAAAAAAAAAAACTCTCTGTGAACATGGAACAATTTCAGATTCACCTGTATACCCAGACCCTACGAGCTATGTCTATTTAGGTCTGTCGTGTAGATTAAAGATCCAGTTAGCGCCAGACTCCAAGAGAACTTAATTTTAGCCAGAAAAACAATGAAGATGATTAGCAAAGAGAGTGCATGTCCCCCTCGTCCTGTGCTTCTACGTCAGAATGCTCTTGGCCATGTAAATGCAGACGCGCTAGGGACCAGGTGGTGGCCAGCAGGGAGCCCGCTGAGTTGCTGAGAGCCGCCGAAGCCGAGCCGCGCCGACATGCGCGCACACTGGGGGCTGCCGATGGGGCTCTCAGGCGCGCGTGTCCGTGTGCCTGTCCTGCATCAGCCACCAGGCCACCGAGTGATGCCCCTTTGCCTCAAGCCTCCCTCGTACTTACTTTCGAATTCCTGAACCACTGGGCTTCGGTTACTGGACTTGAGATTCACGGCCCTGATCAAGCAGCCTGAGAGGAGAAAGAAAAGCCAAGTCAGAGACGACGGGGCTCTGAAACAGGAGAGAGCCCGCACCTGAGGCCAGGTTTCCCTTCAGGGAGGCTGCAGTCACTAGCCACAGGGGACGGAAGACATCCTATTCCAAAACCAAGCCTCTTAGGGTACGGCGGGGTGACGGTTTTCTCTGTCTGACCTTCGCCAGAAGGAATCCAGAGAAAGGAGAATTTCCAGAGTGCACTCTCTTTCTTAGCCCCAGAACAAAGACACTAGAGCTTTCAGGACTTTCCCTCGAAGTATGCATTTGTGAGGGACTGTAAGAGAACATTAGGAAGAGCTACACACCGACAAACTGGACAACCTAGAGGAAACGGACAAATTCTTAAATTCGTACAACTTTCTAAGACTGAATCATGAAGAAAGAAAATCTCAACAGACCAATCACTTGTAAGGAGATTGAAACGGTAACCAAAATCTCCCCTAACACACAAGTCCAGGACCAGACAGTTTTTCTGGTAAATCCTAACAAACAGTCAATGATTTGATACCTGTCCTTCTTAAATTACCCGCAAAACTGAAGAGGAGGGAAGACTTCCTAACTGATTTTTCAAGGCCAATATCACCCCGATACCAAAACCACACAAAGGTAATGCACAGAAAGAATATTACAGGCCAATATCTCTGAGGAACATAGGTGCAAAAAACCTCAGTAAAATATTAGCAAACTGAATATAATAATACACTTAAGAGATCATACATCACAAACAACTGGGATTTATCCAGGGATGCAAAAATGGTTCTACTCAATATTAGATATGACTGAGCAATTCCTCCACTCCTGGATATTTATCAGAAGAAAACAAAACATTAACTATAAAAGATATATGCACACCAATGTTCACTGCAGCATTATTTACAGTAGCCAAGATATGGAAACAAACTAAGTGGCCATCAGTGGAAAAATGGAAAAACAGATAAAAGATGTGTGTGGTTGCGGGTATGTGTATGTATAAATCTGAGTGGGATGGAATATTACACAGCCATACAAAGGATGAAATCTAGCCATTTGCAACAACATGGGTGAAACTTGAGTTGTTATTCCAAGTGAAACGTCAGATGGAGAAAGACAAGTACTGTGAGATTTCAGTCACTGGTGAAATAGGAAAAGAGCAAGCAAAGGAAATGAGAAAATAAATGAACAAACCAAAGGATAATAGACAGATCAAGAAGAGAGAATAATGGTTACAGAGAGGATGGGGACAGGTGTAGGGGTGAGCAGTACAGTGACAGATGGAAACTAAACTTTTGGTGGTGAGCAGCTGTAGTGGAAACAGAAGTATAATCTTGTACACGTGAGGCTTATAGAATGTTATAAATCAATGTTACTGCAATAAAAATTTTTTTAAAGAATTTTATCTTGCTTAGAGTCACTGTTAATCTTTTTATCATCTCCCAGATCCACACGGGCCTTCTTGTCATTCCTCCCTCTGGCCTGGCACCTTCCCAGTAGAATGGCATGGACATTCTGGGTACAGTTACCAGCCAGGCAAGGCTTCATTTGGTTGTATTTGCTGTTTATCTAACCTGTGGTTCCCAACATTAAAGGCTTTCTCCAGTCTTGAGTAAAATAAGAAAAATAACAACATGGTGATTTTCATGAAGTTTAGCTGAGTGAAGCTAATGGATGAAATCAAAATATGCTATTTGCATGGTGATCTCCTTCAAAATTAGCTACTGACTCTCCATGAGTTTAAACAATGCTGTAATCGGTTATCATGGTCTCAAAATGTTTTAGCTGATTTTCTTGGGTGAAAAGATTAAGTAGGTACACTGACCACCTATGAAGAGTCCTTCGGCTACTTGGCCTCTAGGAAAATCTGCCATCCCCAGAGAAGGCCTTCCTGTTAACCCTGGGCCTCAGCTGACAACACAGGTAAGAACACGTGGAGACCTGTACTCGAGCTCCAAGTCACAACCATCCATTCAACAATTCAGAGAGACAGCGGGGCAGGCACAGAGGTGTTTCTCTGCACAAGTCACCGCTTGGACACCCTCCTTTGCCCCTTGGCTGGGGCACCAGCTCAGCAGATGCAGAGTAGGAGCCAGAGGGCCAGGTCCGTGTCTTAAGTCCCAGTGTCATCTGGTTAGGAGACTGAGCTCCGGAAGGACAAGGACCGCACCCTGCTAGACAGTGGTCTGCAAGGGAAACGGGTGCTCTTCCTGAGAGATCGGGGTGGGCGGGGGCGAGGCTGCCAGATGGAGAATGCGTGTCAGGGTCAGCAGGGGGAGGAGCGAGGCCTGGACACGCACCAGCAGCAAGCGTGGGGTCGGGGCTGCTTGTGGCTCAACCTTCACCTGCTGAGGAGAACTGAACCGCTGGGGTTTTTCTCAGAACAGGACTGACGCCCGGCCTGCCCAGGAAAGAGCCGAGCAGGAAGGGTGGGAAGGCCCGGGTGCTGCCGGGGTTTCACCCTGTGGGTTGGCTGCAGCATCTTCTGAATGCACTACCCCCTCCCAGGTCCCGTCGGGGGCGGGGTGACCATGCGCCCAGCTGGTTCACATCTATGAGCGCAGAACCAAAACCAGAAGCCAGGAGTTCCAATGCCCAGTCCCTACTTCACTGCTCAAACAGTCCCTTATTTACAGAGAGAGCAACAGCAGGTGAGAAGAGGATCTGGGACTGAAGGAAGCCCGAGTCAGACCCTGAAGCCCCGCTCACATTCCTCCGTTTTGCAGGACCTTCCTTAGCCAAAGGCGAGGGAAACAGCCTTGAGGAAGCTTCTGGAAGGCATGGCAATGGTGTCTCATCTCCAGCACCTCCCTCTTCCTTCCGGGAAGCCGGGACACTGAATCTGGGGAGCAGAGGAGCGGGCAGGAGGGAAGGAGGCCTCGCTGGGTCCTGCAGCCTCCTGTCCCTGTCCCTGTCCCCCACCACCCGGACGCCTGCATCGCTCTCCTGGTCTGGAACAATGCCACAACTCTGAGCAGCAAGTACATATTTCTACTTTGTTTCGCAAGACCCCCAGACTTGGGGGTCTGTGGGGGGATTACTTCAGGGCCCCATTTAAAAGCCCACTTCCCACTCTACCTCCTTGGTCCGAGAGCACATACCCCAAATTCTAACTCAACAGGCTGGGAAGGGCCCGGGTCTGCGTCTCTCCAAGCCCCTCATGTCAAGTCAGGGCCAACCCAAGTGCAGAGCCCGGTCCCCAGAAGCACAGGCCTGATGCTGGGTGTGAGGACTCAGCTTGCTCCCCTTTTGCTTTCTCAAGAATCACTGGCTATGAAGTGCTTCTGAATCCCCAGGCCGAAGGAACTGATAACAATAAAAAATAGACATAGAAAAGCAGACTGTGAGCTGGAACAGCTGCTGAGGTAAGGCCATCTCAGCCACAGGCAGCCAATTCCGCAGAGGGTGCCCTGCTCTGGTCACTTGTCCAGGAGCCCACACCGGTGCCTGTGTCCTGAAGCAGTCTGAGACAGAGGGAAAATGAAACCCCAAAGGCACCACCCAACCCACATTCATACACATGAGGTGGTGAAGTCCAAACTGCCCGTCTTCTCTGCCTATGGAAACAAAATCAATCTGAACAGCAAGACAGGCCTGCTGGCTCCTGGGCTGGGCCAGGCGGGGGCCTTCTTTTTGCCTTCTGAGTGCTTGCAACCATCTCAACTGCAGAGACAGCGCTCAATGAAAAATCACACTGATCTGAGTTTACATTCATTACTGTAAACCGAACAGGGGAAAGAGACTCTGTTAGAAAATGTTTCCACTAAAGCCGGATGCTTGGCTCACTCGGGACTCGCCTGCCTGCGTGTATCTGTAAAGGGTTATATTTAGCTGCTGACATTCTGTCCAGTCCAGCGAGCGGGCCCCGGGCCGCGCGGGCGCACAGCGGCTCCACTGTGAGCCGCCTCACAGGTCCCAGGACTCCGGGCTAAATATAAACAGCAGTGCGGGCCCTCCAGTGAGAAGGGTGCACATCCGCCCTCCGAGACCACGCCTGTGTGCCTGCTGAGCAGGGCCTGTCCCAGGAAGAAGGCCTCCCATCACAGCATGTTTTCAACATTGCTTTGGTTCCTTAAGCAAGTTTTACAGGAATCTAAGAGCAGGGTGAGAAGGCCCATGTCAGTGATATTTTCCAGACACACAGCAGACAATCCAGAGTAAAACCATCAGACCCGGGCTCTGATGAGAACATAGGCAGCTGAAGCTCTGGTTAAAGCTTCAGCTTTAAAGCTTAGTTAGTTAAAGCTTACTCTGGCTCAACTAAATGGTGATCCAAAGAGACCCTTAAAAATCAAGTATGAAGAGACCCAAGCATCATCGAGTTCCAAATACATCTGACTGTGATGGTCCAACTGTCAGCTTGAGAGTGTTTTTGTTTGTGTGTGTGCGCGCATGCCAAGTTGCTTCAGTTGTGTCTGACTCTTTGCGACCCTATGAACTGTAGCCCCCCAGGTTCCTCTGTCCATGGGATTCTCCAGGCATTCTCCAGGATTCTCCACTCCATGGAGTGGGTCGCCATTCCCTTCGCCAGGGGATCCTCCCGACCCAGGGATACAACCTGTATTCCTTATGTCTCCTGGATTGGGAGGCCGGTTCTTTACTAGTAGTGCCACCTGTGATTAATATTAAATTGTGGACTTTTAGTGCACTGTCCTCTGTAATGGTGGGGAAGGGGGGGCAGCGCCCATCCAATCAGTCAAGAGGCACGATCGAAAATGCCAGTCACTCAGGCAGGAGCCCTCCTGGTCTCCAGCTTTCAGGCCTTCCCTGCAGAGTTTAAACTCACTAGCCTCCATAATCACATGAGCCAGTTCTTAACAGTAAATCTCTGTATGTGTATAGAACATACATAGGTAAAGGAAATGCATTCTGTTCTAGTCACACACACACACACACACACACACCCTGTTTGCTGCACTTCTCTGGGGGGCCCTGACTCACACCCTGGCCACGGAGCATCTTGTCTTGAATCCCAGGTTTATCGGGAATGGCACGTGTACCCCG